CCAGGCGCCCGGGACAGTATCCAGTCTTTTAGGCGTTGGTTTCATTCAGGTGCCTTGGCCGGGCTCGGGGAGCAGATCCGAGAGCAAACCTGCTCGTGGGGTCAGGCTGAGATGTGGTTGAAGTGGTCTGCAGTCTGTGCTGTGCAGAGCCCGGCCGCGGGCCCCATCCTGCCCCTGCCTTGGGCGGTCCATCCTCAGCTCCTTGCAGGGGACTGGTGCAGAGCGGGATGGAGCTGGAGCTGGTCAGTCCCAAATGAGCCTCTTCATAACTTTTTTTCCTAGCTCCTGCAGTCCTGGCAGACGGCATATGAGCGGATCGGAAGTGCCTTTTGCAGCCTATGTTATTCCCCACTCGCGGCTTTTCCTTGGGTGGGTTTCCCACTAACCCAACCTACACTTTTGACTTCAGCCTCCGAAACTATTGCAAGAACTTTTCGGTAAATAATTCCCTGAACAATCCTCACGTTTCTCGTGTTTGATCCCTAACCTTGGAGCTTCGACTCAGAGGTATGTCTCCAATTTCACTTGCCCGCTCTGCTTCTGATCAGAAAACAAGTAATAAGCCTGCCTGGGGTTTCTGTTGCAGCGTGAATAACCCAAGCACCCTGGATGCTGGAGAGAGATGCAGCCCCAGCACAGTGACACTCTCACTGCTTGCTTGCCTTGGAGGACAGGTCAGGTGCGTGGGCAGGTCTGGGCTAGGATGGAGAGGGCCTGGTGTGGGCACAGCCCCACAGCCTGCACCAGCTCCAGGGCTGGGGGCAGAGGCAGTGGCCAGCGCACCTGCAGTGGAACAGGAGGGGAAAGGAAAAGCAGGACCCAAGTTTCTAGCCTGGACTTGGAAAACCAATACAAAATCTCACTCTTCCATATCACAACCATTTCACTGCCTCAGCTGAGGGCCTGTATGGAGGCCAGCAGCCTACATCCCAGTTGAGCGAGTGGGGATGTTGTTTACCCAAGTGGCCGTCCCCTCACTTGCCAGGCTGGGGAGACCAGAGGGCCAAAGCCTTGTGGGCCTTGTGGCTTCCTTCCAGAGGGCCCGCCTGAGGCGGCTGCCTCCCCTTACCCTAAAATCTGCTGAAGTGGGCTCAGGAAACCGTTGTTCCTCTGCTTCAGTTCACCTGTGTCTAGCTTGCTGCTATAATCCCACCGGGTCTTTTCCAACCTAGAAGCTCTGGGAGGAGGCGTTAACACCACAGAAAGTCCTGCCCACCCTCTCGGCAGTGTCATCCCCCTCCTGTAACGGGGGAGAGCCAACAGGCCTGCCGCAGCCTGGGAAGGCAAAGCTTTGCTGGGGGAAAAAAAGCATCACGCTCTTTGAAATTTAAGACTGCGTGATACTGCAAAACTCAAAGCTATTTTAAAACTGCAAAGATATTTCTTGGTAGAGTGTTTCTCTTCGCAGTGTAACTCTGGAAATATGCATCTCAGTGAATAAATGGGTATTTCCCTCTGCTTCTGGAAGATACACAAGAAGGGATCTCTTCATTGCAGTATTTAACAATTTCTTAAAAATAAAAGGAAAGTGAAATTAGTTGCTATCTCTTGTAGTAATCAATGTTTGCACGTGTCTTTCAAGGCTTGAAAGGAAATAGTGCCATATTATTATCGCATACAAGCTATACCGTTCAAATTGTTGCTGTCATCACCAGATTTCTTTTTATTTCAAAGTAAATGTTTTACATTAAAAATTTCGGAAAAGAGGAATGATGCAACAGTTTGCCCCAACACATCTCAGAAGGCTGGTACAACCAGCTCAACCTGAATCTAGCACTGGGGAGTCCAAGCCAGTGTGACAGAAGCACTGCTGGAAGTTGTACATACCCTAACTTGCAGTAAATGTACTGCAGGGTTTTGGACTCCAGCATTCAACATTTAGAAATTCAGGCAAATTGTCATTATAATATGTTGGGGTTTTTTCCTTTTTTTTTTTTTTCTTCTTCTTCCTATTATTTTTTTTCTCCCACAAATTGCGAAGTGCAGTTTTTTCCCCCCGCTCACTCAGTGCCCAAGACAGGCATTGTTCAGCTCCCTATTTAATATTCCTCTTACCATTAGTTTCCTAGGGAAATAAGTATTATGCAGTCGCTCTGCTTATCCGTGGCTCATTCCCTCATAACTCTTAAACCCTGGAGTCAATACCAACCAGCGGGCTGACATGATAGCTCTGCGAGGGTCTTCAAGATGTTGAGTTCTGCAGAGCTCAGCAACAGGCTGGGGTGGGGTGGAAAGACCTCAGCTGCCACCATCCAGCCTGGCAGGAATCGGGGCAGCCCATAACTGGGGGGCAGCGGGATGTCTTTTGCCCAACAGCCTGCTGGAAGAGGATGTCTACAAGAGGAACAACAGGGTATCACGGAGGCAGACCTTGAGGCAGAGGGTATGGTCAGCAACAGGGCTGGGAGCAGAAGCTGTAGAGGAGGTTGAAGGGCCTGGGGAACATGGGACAGCACCCAGGTAACAGTTTTTTCCTTTTACCGTTCAGGGTGATCCCAAGCCTTATTTGTTGCAAGTGCAGTGAATGAGAAACAAATGCTACCCTCTTATTTTCCTTCGGTACTTGTCACGACGATGTTTGGGAGCACTGGAAACATGACCGCATTTATCTTTATCGCTCCCGTGGGAGCAATAAATTCGCTTCTCTTTAGAGGTCGAGAACGAAGCCTCGGAGAGGTTCAGACCGCCGCTGCGGCACTGCCCTCACATCGTGAGCCTCCGGGCAACTTCCCAGCCTTATTCCCGTTTTTAGCACCGGATATGACCCAGGCACGGTCCCGACATACTCCAGCTGTAGTTACCGCACTCACTGCGCCTTATCCACCAGATGTGCCCCACTCCGGGCAGTCAGGAAAAGAGGACCATGTGGCGGCTAGCTGCGACCGCCGCTGCTGGAGCCGCTCGTCTTGGCGTAACTCGACGGCAGAGGAGCTGCCTGTTGCCCGGCGTGGCCGTTTCAGGCAGCCGTGTGTGTCCCGGGTGGCTTTCAGGTATGGGACGGCCCCAAAGGCGAGACCCCGGCCGCCCCTCCGGGCCGCCGAGACCCGCCGGGCGGCCCCCGCGGCCGCCCCCGCCCCGGCCCCGCGGGCGGGGAGCCGCAAGGGGAAGGTCGCGCAATTAATTAAAAGCCCGTGCATTTGCACGAGGGATGCGGGTTACGTTTGTGCGAGTCACCCCGCTACCGACCTTCTGTAACCTTTCGGGGCTTGAATGAGCAAACATCGCATTCCTCCAGCGAAGCCCCCCCCCCCCCCCGATATTAATTTGCTTCCTTTAATTCGATTTAACTCTTTCCAATTAAAGAACTCGGAGGAGGAAAACATCCGTCTTGAAAAGCCTCCCTGACCTCGGTCTGCACGGCCGAGATCGGATCCACGGCACCGGCCTCTCCGGTTGCGAATCCCCTCTTTGAACCTGCTACCGGCCTTCGGTCCGACCTGTTTGCCCAAGGGCAGCGCCGGCCGCCGGCTGCCGGCACTTGGCAGTGCTGGAGGCACCGCTCTCTCCCGGCCGCTGTCTCCAGTCCTGCCCTGGAGTCCCCCTCGGGCGCTGCCGAGACCTTTCCCCGCTGTCGGAGCTCTTGCCGCAGCGCCCGTCACCGGCGTCTCGCACCTCCGCCCGGGACTCGGGGGAGCGCAGCCCTCGATGGTAGCTCCCTGCTCCCACCCGCCGCGGCTCGTCCTGAGCCCCTGCCGCGGGGACGATCTATCTGATCCCCCTGCATTCATCTCTAGCTGGTGCCAGTCTCCGACTCCCGCCCCTCCCGCTGACCCGACCCCTCTGGGACATGGCCCTG